ACCAGAGAGAGACCAGAGAGAGACCAGAGAGAGACCAGAGAGAGGGACCAGAGAGAGAGACCAGAGAGAGAGACCAGAGAGACCAGAGAGAGAGACCAGAGAGAGAGACCAGAGAGAGAGACCAGAGAGAGAGACCAGAGAGAGAGACCAGAGAGAGAGACCAGAGAGAGACCAGAGAGAGACCAGAGAGAGACCAGAGAGAGACCAGAGAGAGGGACCAGAGAGAGGGACCAGAGAGAGGGACCAGAGAGACCAGAGAGAGAGACCAGAGAGAGAGACCAGAGAGAGAGACCAGAGAGAGAGACCAGAGAGAGAGACCAGAGAGAGAGACCAGAGAGAGAGACCAGAGAGAGACCAGAGAGAGACAGAGAGGAGACCAGAGAGAGAGACCAGAGAGACCAGAGAGAGAGACCAGAGAGAGAGACCAGAGAGAGAGACCAGAGAGAGGGACCAGAGAGAGGGACCAGAGAGAGGGACCAGAGAGACCAGAGAGAGAGACCAGAGAGACCAGAGAGAGAGACCAGAGAGAGAGACCAGAGAGAGAGAGACCAGAGAGAGACCAGAGAGAGACCAGAGAGAGACCAGAGAGAGACCAGAGAGACCAGAGAGAGAGACCAGAGAGAGAGACCAGAGAGAGAGACCAGAGAGAGAGACCAGAGAGAGAGACCAGAGAGAGACCAGAGAGAGACCAGAGAGAGACCAGAGAGAGGGACCAGAGAGAGAGACCAGAGAGAGAGACCAGAGAGACCAGAGAGAGAGACCAGAGAGAGAGACCAGAGAGAGAGACCAGAGAGAGAGACCAGAGAGAGGGACCAGAGAGAGGGACCAGAGAGAGAGACCAGAGAGAGAGACCAGAGAGAGAGACCAGAGAGAGAGACCAGAGAGAGAGACCAGAGAGAGAGACCAGAGAGAGACCAGAGAGAGACCAGAGAGAGACCAGAGAGAGACCAGAGAGAGACCAGAGAGAGAGACCAGAGAGAGAGACCAGAGAGAGAGACCAGAGAGAGAGACCAGAGAGAGAGACCAGAGAGAGACCAGAGAGAGACCAGAGAGAGACCAGAGAGAGACCAGAGAGAGACCAGAGAGAGGGACCAGAGAGAGAGACCAGAGAGAGAGACCAGAGAGAGAGACCAGAGAGAGAGACCAGAGAGAGACCAGAGAGAGACCAGGATTATTTCATACTCACTTTTGCCCGTGCTTCCAGCAGGCGTGGTCTATGGGATGGTAGTTTGGCCTCGAAGGATCGTAGTCCGTTTGTCCTGAAGTTCCCTCACTGAAAAACAAAAACAAAGCAGGACTTTTCATCTTTAAAAAATAAGAACAACAGATGTTTAAGCCGAGGCTGAACAAACCCGAGACCAAGAGCCACAGACACCAATGTTGAAACTTTGACATTATTAAAAGAATCATTAATTATATTCTTGAGGGTGTGTAAAGTTCATCTCAGAAGTTTCCTCAAAGTAGTTCAACTTTAACAGAATTACATAATCAAAATATTCAGAAAAATAGAGTTTAAAAATGCATGGCCTTTTTCATTAATATTTTGTTGAGAGCGGCTCCTTTACATAACAATAATGCACTGGTTTTAAAATCGTCCCTTTCTCGACACTCAAAGTCACTTAACAACGTGGTGCATAATTCATGGGGTCTTCAATCACACGGCTGTGGTTCTGTGGCCCCACGTGCCCTGAGGCAGACTGTGAGGAGAGTGGCAGGCAAAGTGCACATGAGGCTTCAGTGGTTCTCAAAGTCTTTTTATTTTGTCGTCTCCCGTCTCTTTGCTTTTGGAAACGGTGTAATTGTGCAAAGCTGTGGCCGTCTAGTTTCAAACTGCATACGAATAAGAAATAAGTAAAAATGGGTGAAATTAAAGCTTTTCTGATAAAAAATAAATGCAGAAACTGATCCACCCTATAATCAGCCTCAGTCCCGGGTCTCCAGTCCTCAGTCCCGGGTCTCCAGTCCTCAGTCCCGGGTCTCCAGTCCTCAGTCCCGGGTCTCCAGTCCTCAGTCCCGGGTCTCCAGTCCTCAGTCCCGGGTCTCCAGTCCTCAGTCCCGGGTCTCCAGTCCTCAGTCCCGGGTCTCCAGTCCTCAGTCCCGGGTCTCCAGTCCTCAGTCCAGGGTCTCCAGTCCTCAGTCCCGGGTCTACAGCCTCAGTCCCGGGTCTACAGCCTCAGTCCTGGGTCTCCAGTCCTCAGTCCTGGGTCTCCAGTCCTCAGACGACTGCAGTTAAGGCTCTATACACATGTTTTTCCCACCTCTGCTTTTGGATCTTTCTCAATTTACTCATGTCTCCAAAATGGCTGCCAGTTCCTTCCGTCCGCCCCAGGGCAGTTCCTGTTTTCTGATGTCACCTCAGCACAACCTATTGCAAAGCTCTTTCCCTATATTTAACACAAAGCTCCCAGAGACGTGTGTAAGTGGCTCCGACAGAGGCTGATAAACTGTGGCTCTCTTAATTCTCTCGTTTCCAAACCGCTCTGTTCTCCGCCGCTGAAGATGACCTCAAACTGACAATCTATTTATAACGGAGACAGAACATGCATTTTTCATCCAGACGGGTTTGTCACAGCAGCCGTGACAGCCAGAGAGTGTCACAGAAGTACAACATGAGAAAGTTATTACAGTTTTATATATATAGTATTTGTAGAGCACCTTCTCTACACAGGGAAACACACAGCGCCTCAGAGACAACACCATGTCAATCAATCATTCAAATCATTATAACTATTGTATTTTACTGTACTGACATTAATGTGCGGGCGACAGTGGCTCAGTTGGTAGAGCATTGGCCTTAGAGCCTGAAGGTTGTGGGTTCGAGCCCACCATAAGACCTACTTCACAACTCCCACTGATGTCTGCTGTCGTTGTGTCCTCGGGTAAGACACAGGGACGCCTCTCTGGTCCCTGTGAGTCTAGTTTCTGAGTCCACACAGCTGTAGTCTCTCTGGTCCCTGTGAGTCTAGTTTCTGAGTCCACACAGCTATAGTCTCTCTGGTCCCTGTGAGTCTAGTTTCTGAGTCCACACAGCTATAGTCTCTCTGGTCCCTGTGAGTCTAGTTTCTGAGTCCACACAGCTGTAGTCTCTCTGGTCCCTGTGAGTCTAGTTTCTGAGTCCACACAGCTTTAGTCTCTCTGGTCCCTGTGAGTCTAGTTTCTGAGTCCACACAGCTTTAGTCTCTCTGGTCCCTGTGAGTCTAGTTTCTGAGTCCAGACAGCTGTAGTCTCTCTGGTCCCTGTGAGTCTAGTTTCTGAGTCCACACAGCTTTAGTCTCTCTGGTCCCTGTGAGTCTAGTTTCTGAGTCCACACAGCTTTAGTCTCTCTGGTCCCTGTGAGTTATCTAGTTTTCTGAGTCCAACAGCTGTAGTCTCTCTGGTCCCTGTGGTAGTTTCTGAGTCCACAAGCTTAGTCTCTCTGGTCCCTAGTTTCTGAGTCACACAGCTTTAGTCTCTCTGGTCCCTGTGAGTCTAGTTTCTGAGTCCAACAGCTGTAGTCTCTTGGTCCCTGTGAGTCTAGTTTCTGAGTCCACACAGCTTAGTCCTCTGTGAGTAGTCTTTGAGTCACAGCTGTAGATCCCGCGTCTCTGGTCCTGTGATCTATTTCTGAGTCAAAGCTTAGTCCCTGAGTCTGTTTCTGAGTCCACACAGCTTTAGTCTCTCTGGTCCCTGTGAGTCTAGTTTCTGAGTCCAGACAGCTATAGTCTCTCTGGTCCCTGTGAGTCTAGTTTCTGAGTCCACACAGCTGTAGTCTCTCTGGTCCCTGTGAGTCTAGTTTCTGAGTCCACACAGCTGTAGTCTCTCTGGTCCCTGTGAGTCTAGTTTCTGAGTCCACACAGCTGTAGTATCTCTGGTCCCTGTGAGTCTAGTTTCTGAGTCCACACAGCTTTAGTCTCTCTGGTCCCTGTGAGTCTAGTTTCTGAGTCCAGACAGCTGTAGTCTCTCTGGTCCCTGTGAGTCTAGTTTCTGAGTCCACACAGCTTTAGTCTCTCTGGTCCCTGTGAGTCTAGTTTCTGAGTCCACACAGCTTTAGTCTCTCTGGTCCCTGTGAGTCTAGTTTCTGAGTCCACACAGCTGTAGTATCTCTGGTCCCTGTGAGTCTAGTTTCTGAGTCCACACAGCTTTAGTCTCTCTGGTCCCTGTGAGTCTAGTTTCTGAGTCCAGACAGCTATAGTCTCTCTGGTCCTTGTGAGTCTAGTTTCTGAGTCCACACAGCTGTAGTCTCTCTGGTCCCTGTGAGTCTAGTTTCTGAGTCCACACAGCTGTAGTCTCTCTGGTCCCTGTGAGTCTAGTTTCTGAGTCCACACAGCTGTAGTATCTCTGGTCCCTGTGAGTCTAGTTTCTGAGTCCACACAGCTGTAGTCTCTCTGGTCCCTGTGAGTCTAGTTTCTGAGTCCGTGGCAGGTCCCGGGTCCATATTCGTCTTGCTTTTCCCCCCGGCTGAGCTTGTCCGTTCCACTTTGAGGCGTGCCGCTGAAATGGCTTCTGCAGTGGATTCTAAATGGCCTGAAGGAAACGGCCGCGGCTCCAAATGGGTTTGTTTTATACCGACTCAAATTCTGCATTAATTCTTCTTAAGCGACCGCTGGAGCAAGAAAGACACAAATTGGATTTACCTCCGCAAAGTGGCGAGCCGCTCCGATTGGATAATTACTGGAGTTGTTTAGTGTTGGGAGTGTTTGGGCTTTCCAACTATTTTGCGAAACATTCTTTTGGTTCGGAGGATAAATAGTTTTGTTAGGGTAATGGCTTAAGCGTCAATAATGAAACCTGTGATATATTAACAACACTTTCACTCAGAAGTTTGAAATGTGACTGAAGCCGTTCACCTGAAGCTCGTCTCACATAAACATAAACTAAAGTGTCTCTTTAGAATGTTCTGGAAACATCGAGTCCTGAGTCGCTCTGAAACTGCTTGGTTTTTACAGTCGTTATTTGTGTCTGTAAATGTTACTGGAGAAGAATGCTCATGGTTTTAATCACGTCATTCCCAGAGGACTCCCATCACAGTACTAACCAGGCCCTGTATTGCTTAGCTTCTGAGGTCTGAGGAGATCTGGCTTTCACCTGCAGGTGTGACCACCTCTGATGCAGACCAGAGCAGAGAGGACGGTCCCAACCAACCCAAAACCCGAAGAGACCAGAGACCAGAAAGAACAGAGAAACCAGGGGAGAGAGACCAAAGACCAGAGAAAGAAAGAGAGACCACAGAGAGAGATCAGATATACCAGAGAGAACAGAGAGAGAGGGACCAGAGAGGGACCAGAAAGACAGACCAGCAAGAGAGACCAGCAAGAGAGACCAGCGAGAGAGACCAGCGAGAGAGACCAGCGAGAGAGACCAGCGAGAGAGACCAGCGAGAGAGACCAGCGAGAGAGACCAGAGAGAGAGACCAGAGAGAGAGACCAGCGAGAGAGACCAGAAAGACGATGTATCTTTTTTTATCCAAATCAACCTTTTGGACTCACGAGTCCAAACAAATGGGCTCCATTAAATGTAAACTCTCAGTATTTACCTTCTGAAGCAGACACAAAACAATACATCTCCTTTAAATGCTTCCCAAAATAAAATCTAAACTTCACTCTCACCTTTTCCGATCCTCTCCCAGACTCTTCCTCTTCTTCTTCTCTCCTTCGCTCACCTCCACGCTTTCCGTTTTCACCGCTGCTGCTGCTGCTTTTCTGGGAGCTATTCACGTAAACAAAGCCGATGCGGAGGCCAAGGGTGTCAAACTAAAACATGTCTCTTTCTCTTCCCAATAATAAAAGCTTTGCACATTCACAGGAGGTTTATGCTAGCACAGAGGAATGCTAATGTCTCACCAAAGAAAGTGCTGATGGGAGGCTTCTGGGCGGGCGGCTTATCTGCGGCGGTGTCCTGGCTTTGACTTTTGGGGGTTTCATGGTCCTTCTGAGGCTCTTCCTCCGTGACTGCGGCGGGCTCCTCATCATCATCACAAATCTGTTCTGTTTTTGCAGTTTTAACGTCTTCTGTGTCTGGTTTCTCACTCGTTGAAGTAGATTTGGAGATGGCCGTTTTCTCGCTGCTCTCCGGTTTGGTCTCCTCTTCCATCGGTTCTTCGCCGCTTCCTGAAATATGTCATTATTAAAGCTGAGGTACGCAAGTTTCAGACCACAGTATATACAACGGTAACACTTTGGATTATCTTTCACTTATCAAGAGCTAAAAAAGTAAGATAGTAGTTACATTGGTCTCTCACTTCACACAGAGAGAGACCAGAGAGAGAGACACCAGAGAGACCAGATAGAGGAGAGAGACCAGAGAGACCAGATAGAGAGACCAGATGGAGAGACACCAGAGAGACCAGATAGAGGAGAGAGACCAGAGAGACCCGATAGAGGAGAGAGACCAGAGAGACCCGATAGAGGAGAGAGACCAGATGGAGAGAGAGACCAGAGAGACCCGATAGAGAGACCAGAGAGACCAGATAGAGGAGAGAGACCAGAGAGACCCGATAGAGGCCAGATAGAGAGCGAGACCAGAGAGAGAACAAAAAGAGAACAGAAAAGGCCTGGAGGTGGAATCAAACCCGGGACCTTCTTGCTGTGAGGCACAAGCCCTAACCCACATGGGAAAGTGTCAGTTAGTAGTGAGTTAGATGTAGAATAAGGACTAAAAAGTGCTGAATAGAAACCAATTAAGAGCTAATTAACCATTTACAGAAATGTTGATTAGTGCGTACTGTCCCTTTTTAAATTAATAATTCTATTTTTAGTCTGTCTCATATTTTGGTCAGAAAAGTGAACAAGAACCACCAGGAGTCAGCTTTTACCCCAAAGACTTAAATAGTTGCTTTCAAGTTTGCAAAAGATTCTATTGATATAATAATGCATTGGTTTTATACAGAGCTTTTCAGCCACAGCCGCCCCACTGAGGTCTCCCATCACAGCACTAACCAGGCCCTGCCCTGCTTAGCTTCAGACAGGATCTGGCTTTCAGCTGCAGCTGTGGCAAACTCTAACCCTCTGTCCAAACACACTTCTACCTGCTTGGGCCTCGTTATGATATAAAACTATAAAAGTTAAAATAATAAAATAAGACATCATTTAATTAGATCATTACTGCTGAAAAAATCCAATGTTTAACTTTGGGTCTGAGCGAAGCAGAAACAGAACATTTACACAGGTGTACAGGTGTACAGGTGTACAGATGTACAGGTGTACAGGTGTACAGGTGTACAGGTGTACAGGTGTACAGATGTACAGGTGTACAGATGTACAGGTGTACAGGTGTACAGGTGTACAGGTGTACAGGTGTACAGATGTACAGGTGTACAGGTGTACAGATGTACAGGTGTACAGGTGTACAGTGACCAGAGCAAAAGGTTGTGACTGTAATGAGCCATTATCCATTTTCCATAATTGCACATCTGTCATTAGTCCAGAACAGATGCAGTGGAAACACATATTAGTGTTAAAGGTGTGAGCATCTGCGAGAGACGGAACAGTCACTGTTGATTTAAAAAATACCACGTGTCGCTCCTGCGCGGCCTCGCTAACACGCGCTAACGCCACAATTACTCTGGAACATTCTGTAGTAGAAGGTGTTTACGTCCACAGAATTAGTCCTGGTCTCAGGTCTCTGTCCTGAAGTCCTCTCACATTAGTCCTGGTCTCAAGTCTCTGTCCTGAAGTCCTCTCACATTAGTCCTGGTCTCAAGTCTCTGTCCTGAAGTCCTCTCACATTAGTCCTGGTCTCAGGTCTCTGTCCTGAAGTCCTCTCACATTAGTGCTGGTCTCAGGTCTCTGTCCTGAAGTCCTCTCACATTAGTGCTGGTCTCAGGTCTCTGTCCTGAAGTCCTCTCACATTAGTCCTGGTCTCAGGTCTCTGTCCTGAAGTCCTCTCACATTAGTCCTGGTCTCAGGTCTCTGTCCTGAAGTCCTCTCACATTAGTGCTGGTCTCAGGTCTCTGTCCTGAAGTCCTCTCACATTAGTCCTGGTCTCAGGTCTCTGTCCTGAAGTCCTCTCACATTAGTCCTGGTCTCAGGTCTCTGTCCTGAAGTCCTCTCACATTAGTCCTGGTCTCAGGTCTCTGTCCTGAAGTCCTCTCAGATTAGTCCTGGTCTCAGGTCTCTATCCTGAAGTCCTCTCACATTAGTCCTGGTCTCAGGTCTCTGTCCTGAAGTCCTCTCACATTAGTCCTGGTCTCAGGTCTCTGTCCTGAAGTCCTCTCACATTAGTCCTGATGAATGTGGCATAGAGCACAAGTTACACAGCAGCAAAACAAATCATTTTGTCAAGTTTTCATTTTGAGCTTAAATGTGAACATAGTGTTGGTGAGTATTTCACCCTGAGGGAGACGTCTCTGTCACAGCGGACCATTATCCAGGACCTTGAGATTCTAAAGCTTTGCTTTTTTTCTACACAAAAAGATCTAATGCATTTGCTTCTGAAGAGTCCAGTCCAGATCAGTCCAGATCAGTCCAGTCCAGATAAGTGCACCTCAGGCACAGAGGTTTGTGAGTTTGAAAACGTGAGAATCAAAGTTAGGATAATGTTTGTTCTCTGCTTCTCACTGTTCCAGGAAAACGGCCAAAATAAATGTCAGTCTTATTTCAGTTTTTAATATGAGGCACAGGAATCACAAAATATCACTGTCTGTATCGCGATATTTTAATACCATGGAATCCTCACGTTTATCATTTCCGGCCTCTCGCTGGAACTATAATTTCTTGAATTGAAAAACAGGAAAATACAAATCCAGGAGAAAAACTAAAAATCTGTCATTTTTGAATCACTCCCAAAAAACCTCTGCACCTTTGTTTGTTTGATCTGACTCCTCCAAACTCACACCTTAATTACTGCGTCTCCCTCCCAGGTCTGACCCCTCCCTGCCTCCCCCTGCCTCCCCCTGCCTCACACTCCCTCCCTGCCTCACACTCCCTCCCTGCCTCACACTCCCTCCCTGCCTCACACTCCCTCCCTACGCCTCCCCCTGCCTCACACTCCCTCCCTACGCCTCCCCCTGCCTCACACTCCCTCCCTGCCTCACACTCCCTCCCTACGCCTCACACTCCCTCCCTGCCTCACACTCCCTCCCTGCCTCACACTCCCTCCCTACGCCTCCCCCTGCCTCACACTCCCTCCCTGCCTCACACTCCCTCCCTACGCCTCACACTCCCTCCCTGCCTCACACTCCCTCCCTGCCTCACACTCCCTCCCTGCCTCACACTCCCTCCCTGCCTCACACTCCCTCCCTACGCCTCACACTCCCTCCCTACGCCTCACACTCCCTCCCTACGCCTCACACTCCCTCCCTACGCCTCCCCCTGCCTCACACTCCCTCCCTGCCTCACACTCCCCCCCTGCCTCACACTCCCTCCCTGCCTCACACTCCCTCCCTGCCTCACACTCCCTCCCTACGCCTCACACTCCCTCCCTACGCCTCACACTCCCTCCCTACGCCTCACACTCCCTCCCTACGCCTCCCCCTGCCTCACACTCCCTCCCTGCCTCACACTCCCTCCCTACGCCTCACACTCCCTCCCTGCCTCACACTCCCTCCCTACGCCTCACACTCCCTCCCTGCCTCACACTCCCTCCCTACGCCTCACACTCCCTCCCTACGCCTCACACTCCCTCCCTACGCCTCACACTCCCTCCCTACGCCTCCCCCTGCCTCACACTCCCTCCCTGCCTCACACTCCCTCCCTACGCCTCCTCCTCCCTCCCTCCTCCCTCTGACCCCTCCCTGTCTCCTCCTTCCTCTTCCTCCCTCTGACCCCTCCCTGCCTCCTCATCCCTCCCTCCTCCCTCCCTCTGACCCCTCCCTCTGACCCCTCCTTGCCTCCTCCTCCCTCCCTCCTCCCTGCCTGCCTCCCCCTCCCTCCCTGAGCCCTCCCACTCCCTCCCTCCCTCCCTCTCTCCCTCTCTCCCTCTCTGACCCCTCCCTGCTGAGGTGAGTCGTTAGCCGTTACCTGCAGAGTTGGCTTCCTTCTCCACTCGGGCTCGTTTGTTTTGATGACCCGCGTTGTCCTTCGCCTCAGACTCTTCTTTCTCGCCGCTCTCGTCCAGCCTCCTCTTGGGGAACATCTTCCTCGCTGCAAGAGAAAATAAACCCCATTTTATTAAAAAGGAAGGAAGCAAAACAAATCTGAGTAAACTGTTGAGAAGGAGTGCAGATTTGGAGAGAAAAGGGCAAGAAGGAACTTTAATAAAGTTCTCCCTGAAATGTAATTATCTGCATGACCTTAATCCAATCCTGTGTGGTTAGTTTTAACAGAGGGAGGATGACAGCACAAAATATATCCAGAATAATATTCAAAAATAACATTTCAAAACATTTCTTTTACTGTTTCATATGAAAACTAACAAAGCAAGTTAAGGATTCAACTAAATCCACTATAACGTTAATCTTTTCTTGAATAATAATGCAAAGGTTTTAAACAGAGTTCTTCTGGACACTTTAAGTCTCTTCACATCACTCTCTCCGAACACGGTGGTGATAAACTACTGTAGCCACAGCTGCCCTGGGGCACACTGACAGAAGCGAGGCAACCAGTCTGTGCCATCGGCCCCTCACACCACCTACAATTCATACACCAGACTCATTCTAATGGAAGGAAAAGTGTCTTGCCTAAGGACACAACCACAGTTTGGCACTTTACAGCCGCAGCCGCCCCACTGTGGCACCTGCTGTTCAGAGGTCTCCCATCACAGCACTGACCAGGTCCTGCCCTGCTTAGCTTCACAGTTCTAATAGGATCTGGCTTCACCTGCAAGTTTGGACACTTTTAAGACTCAAATAGATAAATAATAAACAATCCAAACACTGGGACTAAACAACCTCTTCTGTCTCCGTCTTTGAGCCCAATGTCGCAATTTCAGAGGAGCTATAACTCCTCTGGCTGTAACTGCAGACACAGCAAAACAGCCAAAACCACACAACAGTGAGGAAGAGAAGAGGAACTAAAGCCACAACATGATCAAAGAAGAAACCAAGCCCTGAACAGAGCTAGCTTACATCGTATCCTCTGGAGAGACTGGTCTGAGGGAGAGACCTGCGGGACCGCCTCGGACTATCTACGCTCGGACCGTCTACGCTCGGACCGTCTACGCTCGGACCGTCTACGCTCGGACCGTCTACGCTCGGACCGTCTACGCTCGGACCGTCTACGCTCGGACCGTCTACGCTCGGACCGTCTACGCTCGGACCGTCTACGCTCGGACCGTCTACGCTCGGACTATCTACGCTCGGACCATCTACGCTCGGACCATCTACGCTCGGACCATCTACGCTCAGACATTTGGACGTGAAACTAGCGGTAATCTTTCAGTTATATATTGTGTTAGCAGTGCGTTGCTTTTGTACTATTTCATCAGTGATTGTTGTACAGCTTAAAGGACAACTCACCCTCAAATCCACTTTTTTTTGCTGATAAACAGTATAAATGAGTGTCCAATAGTGTTGTCTACATATCCTGGTCATAATTGTCACTTTGGTGCAAATTAGTTGAAAGTTAAACTTTCTGCCTAAAACCGTCTGTGAGGCGCCATCTGCTGGCGACCTGTATTACTACATTTGAATTTTGAATCTGGCGCCAACACTGGCGCGGCAGCAAGACCTGACGTCAGCAGCCCCCCGCCCAGAGCAATATAAACGGCCCAGTCTCGTTCACGCCCCCTTTAGTCCTCCAGGCCACGCCCATTTAGAGGAAGATTTGAACAGGAAATGTGAGTGACGTAAGCTCCGAGGAGCGGGGGTGAGAACCACTTTAAGTTGTGCTAATGCTAATGCTAGTATATAGATCGCAAATAAAACTAGAAGGCTCTGTGGGAGGAGAGCGTAGGGGAAATGAGAAGCCTGTGAGCGAGTTGGGGGCGGGGCTAAACACTCAAACCTTACAGAAACGGGTGTAGCTCCTTTAATAAGCACTTTGTTCCTATTTGCACATTGAGTCGTTTTATTGTTAAATGAAGAGAATGCAATATGTATCATTTCTTCAAAAATAGGAAACAAATGTGACAGAAAACCTTTGTTCCTACTTTAACTTCTCTTTGAGGTTCAATTAAAAAAGAACTTTGGATTTATATTTGCAGTAGTTTTTGAGGGTTATTTATCCTGTTAAAATATCAAGATACTCCCATACCTCCCAGCCCTAGTCCATCCTCAGCTCATGTGAAATGATTTTGACAGGGTGATATAACACTCTTTCCTGCCTAAAGGTGATGTCACATGTTTCTCCTCACGCTGACTTGATGCTAATACTTTCAGTCGTGACAACAGCAGAAAAACATCTCGATGTGAAAGCAGCAGACACTGATGAGAGGCTGCATGCACTGATTGGCTGTTTGGATTTCTCCATCTGTCAATCATCTCCTGGAGGCGGGCCAGAGACAGAGAGACCAGGGGGAGACCAGAGAGAAACACCAGACACACCAGAGGGAGAGAGAGACCAGAGAGACTAGAGAGAGACTAGAGAGAGACACCAGAGGGAGAAAGACCAGAGAGAGAACGAGACACACACACGCTACAGAAACTATCATTTAATATTAGTCTGAGGTCAGTGATAATCTGCTTTAAAACATCCTGGATTAGAACCTGGACCAGGCCTGGATTAGAACCTGGACCAGGCCTGGATTAGAACCTGGACCAGGCCTGGATTAGAACCTGGACCAGGTCTGGATTAGAACCTGCACCAGGTCTGGGCTCTGGGCATAAACTGCTTTTGAGAAGAAAAGTCTTGAGAATCGTCTTTGTAAAGTTCCAAATCAATGAAGGCATTAACCTCATTTAAAAACAACTTCCACCAAATTAAACGTTTAATTGTGATTTCTTTCCCAGAGACAGGTCTTTTATCTGAGCAAATGATCGGAATTTACTGATTACAACGAGAAGAGGAGGAACGACAAAGCTACAGGGCGGCACGGTGGCTGAGTGGATAGCACTCTCGCCTCTCAGCAAGAAGGTCCTGGGTTCGAATCCCGGCCGGACCAGGGCCTTTCTGAGTGGAGTTTGCATGTTCTCCCCGTGCCTGCGTAGGTTTCCTCCGGGTACTCCGGTTTCCCCTACCACTAAAAATATGTACAATAGGTCTGGCATGCGCCTCCTGTTCGGCGACCCCGCTCCCATCTCTGTGTGGAGTGAGAGACAAGTGCCCAAAAAATAACAATTGTAAACCGCTTTGTGACTCTGGTCTGTGAAAGGCGGTATATAAATAAAGCTTACTTACTTACTTACAGACGCTTTGAAGAAACCACAAAGTCTAAGTTTTGTTTCATGTTAAATGTTCTTCACGACTCGAGAAATGAGTTCAGAAAAAGAACTATTTTTAGTCCGGGTTAAAATCACAAGAATAAAGACTTTGATGATTATTACTGTGTCGGTCTCAGACCTGGGGTCGTTTCACATTATACCACATTTTACATTAACAAGGGACACAACTGGGCCCATCGCAAACTCTCTTCTTCTCCTATCTCTCCCTCCCTCCCTTCTTTCCCTCTCCTCCCTCCCTCCCCCTCCTCCCTTTCTTTGACTTACTCCCTTTTTCTCTCCTCCCCCTCTCCTCCTCCCTCCCTCCTCCTCCCTCCTCTCCCTCCCTCCCTCCCTCCTCCCCTCCCTCTCCCTCCTCCCCTCCCCTCCCTCTCCCTCCCTCCCCTCCTCCCTCCCTCCTCCCCTCCCTCTCCCTCCCTCCCTCTCCCTCCCTCCCTCCTCCCCTCCCCTCCCCTCCCCTCCCTCTCCCCTCCCCTCCCTCCCCTCCCTCTCCCCTCCCTCCCTCCCTCCCTCCCTCTCCCCCTCCCCTCCCCTCCCTCTCCCTCCTCCCCTCCCTCTCCCTCCCTCCTCCTCCCTCCCTCTCCCCTCCTCCCCTCCCCTCCCTCTCCCTCCCTCCTCCCCTCCCTCTCCCTCCCTCCTCCTCCCTCCCTCTCCCCTCCTCCCCTCCCTCTCCCTCTCCCTCCCTCCTCCCCTCCCTCTCCCTCCCTCCCTCCTCCCCTCCCCTCCCTCTCCCTCTCCCCTCCTCCCCTCCCCTCCCTCTCCCTCCTCCCCTCCCCTCCCCTCTCCCTCCTCCCCCTCCCTCCCTCTCCCCTCCCCTCCCTCTCCCCCTCCTCTACAGGTCCATACCTCCACATACATGTTCTTATCACCATCTCTGGATACAAGCATTGATCAATGTGTGTTCATACATATTGTAGAGTTTCCTTTTCTCTGCGCTGTAAGTCAGAGAATAAAATCAAATAAACACGATTATATATATATATATATATATATATGATAGATTATATAGAGCCATAACTGGTGCCCTGACCCCCCACAACACACCTCAGTTGGAGAGATTTGTTCCTCGTAAGTAACACAGTCGTCTGTATATAGTGTACGTGGATCTTAAATCTCCTCCTTACGGCGGTGTATCGTGCTCAGACTAAACCCCCGGCCTCTGTTTCAAACCTCTCCTTTCTGTAATAACGTCTCTTTGCTTCGCTGCTCCTGGAGACGCTCGCTCAGCAGAAAACCACAATCACATTATTATCATCAACACGAGGAGAAAACCCAGCGATAATAATGGGCTGGACCCGCCCTCTGCTCCGGCTAACGACATATAAACAACACATGGATTTTTCAAACACAAAATAGACAATACGAGTTTCTGCGTACGTCGGACGCGTCTCATTAGTGATTAATGGATGTTTTTGCAGCGTAGTAAAATAACGAAGACGATTGAAGGCCATTAGGCGCCTGCTAACAAGAGATCAGCAGAGCAGCTGGAGGCGTCACATGAGACTCAAATACTAAATCTGACATTTATGAAGTTACACAGTTTAATAATGTGCACTCACCGGTTTTACGTTTGACGATCCCTGATGGAGAGATGGAGTTTGGAGTGCAGGGCGTCCCAGAGGAGGCAGACAGGGCAGGAGTGGCAGGAGCAGCAGGTGAGGCAGACAGGGCAGGTGTGGCAGGAGCAGCAGGTGAGGCAGACAGGGCAGGTGTGGCAGGAGCAGCAGGTGAGGCAGACAGGGCAGGTGTGGCAGGAGCAGTCCCAGGGGTGATAGCGGTCGGTGGAGGAGACTTGGGTGTGGCAGGTGTGGCAGCAGGAGTGGCAGCCTGGGCAGGTGTGGCAGCAGGAGTGGCAGCCTGGGCAGGTGTGGCAGCAGCAGCAGGAGTGGCAGCCTGGGCAGGTGTGGCAGCAGCAGCAGGTGTGGCAGCCTGGGCAGGTGTGGCAGCAGGAGTGGCAGCCTGGGCAGGTGTGGCAGCAGCAGCAGGTGTGGCAGCAGGAGTGGCAGCCTGGGCAGGTGTGGCAGCAGCAGCAGCAGGAGTGGCAGCCTGGGCAGGTGTGGCAGCAGGAGTGGCAGCCTGGGCAGGTGTGGCAGCAGCAGCAGGTGTGGCAGCCTGGGCAGGTGTGGCAGCAGGAGTGGCAGCCTGGGCAGGTGTGGCGGGTGGTTTTGGTTTTTCTTCCTGTACCAAAGAAACATTAAATATTTAGGTAACGTCTGGTTTGTGTCCAGATCTGGGACTAGAACAATATCCTCATTTGATAAATATTGTTTTGATCCCAGGAGACTTTCAGGTGTTCAGCAGCAGAAACATCCATTCACACAAACATATACATTAATACAAAGTAGTAAGTTATTAGTAAAAGTGACTAACAATAATAAAGTGACAAAGTGCGGCCGCTGGTGACGAGCTGCTTCCTCTGGGCGATGTTTGCAGAGTCTGCTCTGGTTCAGAGAGCAAGATGGCGCCGGGTCAGGGCGCCTCAGTAAGAGCTCTGGTGTGCACTATCTGTTCCATGTTGTTTTTTGTCTGTGATACACTTGCCACCGTGAGGTACGACCGAGAGACACTTCTCTACATTCGGGACCGAGCTTGTGGAGTATCCAGTGCCAGCGAGAGGCCCGAGACTGCGCTGTGCTCTGTCTCAGCGAGACGTGGCTCCACACGGGCGTCCCGGACTCTGCTGTTCAGCCCCCGGGATACACCGTTCACCGCGCGGACAGAGAAAAGGAGACCACGGGGAAATCCAGAGGTGGAGGTGTGTGCTTTTTAATTAATCAGCGCTGGTGCACGGACACTCGCATCGTGAACCATACATGTACTGCCAATCTGGAATGCCTGGTCTTGAGCTGTCGCCCTTTTTATCTTCCGCGGGAGTTTTCTGTGATATTTTTATGCGCTGTTTACATCCACCCACGAGCGGACTATACTGTAGCACTACAGGATCTGAGCGAGATCCTTCATAAATACGAGACTGCTCATCCTAATGCAGTGATTATTGTCGCTGGGGATTTTAACAAATGTAATTTAAAGACTGTAATCCCAAATTTCTACCAACATGTGACTCGAGCTACAAGAGGAGCACAGATCCTGGATCACTGCTACAGCAATGTGAAGGGAGCTTACAGGTCCAGTCTCAGACCTCCATTTGGAAAGTCTGACCACTCCTCTGTTCTCCTGCTTCCTTCATACACTCAGAGGAGCAGGGAACATAAACCAACCTCTCGCACTGTGCAGTGTTGGTCTGAGGAGGCTAGCATGAAGCTACAAGGGTGTTTTGATGCCACTGACTGGTCTGTGTTTCAATCAGAGGATGTTAATGAATTCTGTGACGCTGTGTCTGGATACATACGCTTCTGTATTGACTGCTGTGTCCCACAGAAGGTCATTAAAGTACATCTCAGTCAAAACCCTTGGATGAACGCGGAAGTGAAACAAAAACTTCATGAGCGTGCTCTGGCGTTTCAATCTAACGATACAGTTGCCTATAAGCTATCCTGTTACGCATTGAAACGTTCTATTAAATCTGCAAAGCGCAGTTATGGGGACAAGTTAAAGGGTTATTTTAAGGAAGATGACCCTCGGCGCATGTGGAGCGGTATTAAAGCCATCACGTCCTGGAAACCTAGTGCTGGGAAAATCGGATCTGTTGGCCCAGCTCTGCCTAATGAGCTGAACTCGTTCTACTGCCGCTTCGAATCTGCCGATGCCTGTCCTACTGTCTTTCCTGATTGCCTCAATCAAGGTGCGTTCACCGTGACTCAGGAGGCAGTCCAGCGGGTCTTGTCCAGCACCATTGTCCGGAAAGCCCCTGGCCCGGACGGCATCCCACCCCGTGTCCTGAAACTGTGCTCTGAGCAACTTGCCCCTGTGCTAACAGACATCTTTAACTTGTCGCTAAGGAACTGTACTGTGCCGAACTGTACTGTGCCGAACTGCTTTAAAGAGTCGACCATTATCCCAGTTCCTAAGAAAACTCCTGTGACATGCCTTAATGACTATCGTCCTGTGGCCCTCACTTCTGTCCTAATGAAGACTTTCGAGCGGCTTGTGCTGGACTTCATTAAGAGCCAGATCCCTGTGAGTGTTGACCCGCTCCAGTTTGCTACAGACAGAACAGGAGTGTGGAGGATGCCATCTCCTTTGCTCTGAACTCTGTCTACAGTCACTTGGACAATAGGAAATCTGTTGCAAGAATGCTGTTCATTGATTATAGCTCTGCTTTTAACTGCCTTGTCCCAGGTATACTGATTGAAAAGCTCATGTCTCTGGGTTTAAGTGTTGCCATGTGTAAATGGATCTATAGCTTTTTAACTGACAGATCTCAGAGAGTGAAAATCAATGACTGTTTTTCAGATGTTGTTTCTGTGAGCACTGGATCTCCTCAGGGATGTATTTTGAGTCCTTTACTTTTTACACTGTACACTCATGATTGTGTGTCTTCCTCAGACTCTAACCTGATCATCAAATATGCTGATGACACCACCATCATCGGTCTCATCAGTAATAACGATGAATCCTCTTATAGAGCCGAGATCCAAAACGTGGTTCAGTGGAGTAAGGCTAACAACCTCCAGCTGAACGCATCCAAAACATGCGAACTGGTCTTTGATTTCAGTCGCAATAGTTCTCATTTGCCTGTCGCAATCGATAACTCCCAAGTGCAGATTGTAGAGGAGTGTAAGTTTCTGGGTCTAACTCTGTCTAACCTGAAATGGGTTAAAAACACTGACCGAGTCGTAAAGAAAGCTCGTCAGCGTTAGAGAATTTACCACTGACTCTAAGATTCTGCTGAACTTTTATCGCTGCACCATTGAGAGTTTACTTGTTGGTTCTGTGTCTGTGTGGTTCGGTAACATCACAGATAAAGAAAAGAGAGCTCTAAACAAGGTGCTCCGCTCTGCTAAGAGGACTGTAGGCTGTGAACTTCCTGTTCTGGAGGTTCTTTATCAATCCAGACTTTTTAACAGTGCCCTGAGAATTATCAGAGACTCTTCTGGCCACCCAGGAAAAGCCTTGTTCCAGCTTCTTCCCTCTGGCAGAAGATACTGTTCTCTGAGATGCAGGACATCTCGTCATGCTAACAGTTTTTTTCCACGAGCTGTTAACAGTTTGAATAGAGCACTTTAATGTTTTGCACTCGTATAGATCTGTTTTAAGTTGGTCAACTTCACAGTGACATTTGTTGTGACATTTGTTTACCGTTTTTAAAATTTGTTTTATTTTTGTCTTTTAATGTTGTTTTGTGTCTGTACTTGTCCTGTGCACACGGGGAACTTTTACAAATGTATTCCAATGTGGTGTATACATACTGCAAATGGCGAAATAAATGAATCTGAATCTGAATCTGGTTCAGAGTGAAATCCTGAAAGCTCAATTAGCTCGCCGTCTTAATGAAACTAATGTAGCCGGCCCTGGCCCTTAAGTCATCGCCTGCCAGCCTGTTTCAGAACAGGTACTCCCATATCGCCAGCAGTTTCTGATGAGAAATCAGAAACCAGATTCTGAAAGAATGGACTGTCTACTTTCATCAGCAAAAAGAATTTTGTTTCTAGTTTCTTTACCGTTAATCCCCAGTCAAGTAGAGGGAAGTTTCACTGAAATCACTAGTCTCTAGGGCTGGGCGATTAATCGATTTTAATCATTAATTCGAGTTTTACGTTTAGGGCGATTTCTTTTTTTAAAAATTCGATTTTTATTTTCTCCAGCGCAGAACTACAGCGCTAACGCGCTAACCGCGGGTCTATGGTGTTGAGCAGTCATTTTGAAGCTAACCTAATGCTAACAGTCTCCCTCTGGCCTGATGCTCGCTCTCACAGTTGGTGCTGTTGCAATAACACTTCAAACGTTCAAGAATCAGACTTTATTTAAATCGCCAGAACACACACACACACGCACGCAGGCTCCGGTCGTACGCCACATCTTTCACGCTCTCTCACGCTCGTTATTCCAAAGCGCACTCCCGTGTCCGTGGCGCGCACACACTCGTGTCCCACTGAGCCGCTGCACTTTGGGGAAAGACACGTCTCACACATTGCTCTCATTGCTCTGATACAAACAACGTGTTCCCCGCTGTCTGTTAGCTACAGTAGCTGCTAGCTACAGTAGCTGCTAGCTACAGCATCAGAATGTAAACAGGAAGCTCGCACAATGCGGGAGTCACTGAAGTTAGTATTAGCGCCACCAGCTGGACCGAGCGTTGTACTACAGCACAGTTACTCAGGCACAGTTGAAAGAACAAGCATGAAAACCCGAGGAGGCTTTTGGAAAAGACTGTCTGTTACAACATTTCTATTTTGAGTAATCAGTTTTAAAAATGTGATATTTCATGTAAATAATGCATGTGTTTAATAGGATTGATATATTTGCGATGGGCCTTGTTTGTGTGATTTAAGTTATTTTGAAGGTGCATAGTGTCATTGTAAGTGAAGTTATTATAAAACTGTTAAGCTACATTTTCACTGTTTACAATGGCAGAGCCATCTCGTTTACAAGCATGTTTTAAGGCTTAATTCCTGTTACACTTATGCTCCATGGGGATTTAGATTAAACTGCATAAAGGAAAATCTATTTCTTTGTCAGTTGTAGTTTGTTTTTAAATAGAAAAAAATAAATCGATTAAAATCGAAAATCGGATTTGGTGTGAAAAAATCTGAGATTTTTTTTTTTTGCCATATTGCCCAGCCCTACTAGTCTCTGACAAAAAGCTGAGAAAAACAGGATGCATCCTGTTTTCAAAACATCCAAACGCAGCGCTGCTGCCACCTGCTGGCTTAATAAAATATGCTCTGAAGCTAATCCCCACATATTAGATATAATAGACATCTGGGAACATGAAAATAGCGGAAAACGCGATTGACGTATCAGTGCGTCAAGAGTGAAGCAGGATCAGAGCAAAAGGAGCTACTTTGAAGAACCAGAATAAAACACATATTTTCACTTGGTACCTACATAATTCACATGAGTTCATTCATAGGTTTGAGGCCTTCAGTGTCAGTCTACAATTTTCATAATCATGAAATAAACACCACTGAATGAGGTGTGTCCAAACCTTTGGTCTGTACTGTATAACTAAGTTTTTACAATAATGACATGACATCAAAGTGCATCTATGACCATTGTCACTCCTCCACAGTTTCCCAATCACAGGGGCGTGTCCAGAGACCTAGCATAATGAAGACGCCGCGGTCGGACTGTGATGGTGAGAAAAGGATGTCGAGGTAATGAGGCTCATGACCAACGTGACAGAACTACATACATGTAACCGCCAAAGCATGTTTTATGGTAAAGCCAGTGGGCCATAAAGGTCTAATATGAAGCGCTGAGTGATAATGACTTGTGAAATGGGAAAGTTGATTAAAAGTAATCACAGAGGAGCCATTGGGGCTGAATCTTTCATGTGACGAGTCCAATGGAGGTCTGTCGGTTTAATATTCTGATAATTCATCTTTTTGTTGTTTAGCACCTTTAAAAAGTCCATAAAAACAACCAAAACAATATAAAGTATCAAGAAGAACAAATACAGGAAAAAAAGGACACACAACAAGAAAGAGCAAACAGACGATGTGGAGTTTAATAATAAATCAGTTTTATTCAGTTCTTTTCAGACGCTCTAAGTCTCTTCACTTCATTATTCTCTCTCTACAAACACAGTAGTGATAAACTGTAGCCACAGCTGCCCTGGGGCACACTGGCAGAAGCCCCTCCCACCACCACCAACCATTCACACACACCAGACTCATTCTAATGTGGGGGAAGTGTCTTGCCTAAGGACACAACCACAGTTTGGGACTTTACAGCCACAGCACTAACCAGGCCCTGTCCTGCTTAGCTTCAGAGGTCTGACCGGATCTGGCTTTCGCCTGCAGGTGGCGCCACAACTTGATTAAAACAATTCAGATAAGAATTCAGAATTACAACAAACAGATCCAATAAATGCATTTATTTGAGGAAGTGGGTGGAGTCTGCTCTGCTCCTGGGTCTGTTTGGAAGCAGCCACAGCTGCCCTGTCTGGGCCGGTTTGGAGACCCCTGGTGTAATCCATGGGTCTATATTAATATCTGGATAATATCTGGATAATATCTGGATGAGCACAGGCCATTCATTTGAAAAGGACGCCATCTTGGATCACCAGGGCTTGGTTTAATCACACGCTGATTTTTTGTCTGATTTTGAGAAAGATCAGTTTGATGATGACTTTCTGCAGAAATGTGATCTTCAGATACTTTTTAATTCCAGTGTATAAACATAAAGACCAAAGCCACTGTGACGCTGGAGTTTGGAAGCATCAGAGAAGTGGAAAACAGCCGAAACTGTAAATGTCTCATTATGGTTTCCTCCATTTCTGGGGCTGAGAGCTGCAGCTCTTTTAAACAGATGAACTGTGGGATAATCATCATTAGGACAAGAGCGATGCTTGTCACAGCGGCGCTGCCAAATAATCCAATTTGTTCTCAGTGGAGTCAAACAAAATACTAAACAAAAAGCTGTTTCCAGACAAATAAATCATTATATTTCAGGATTTAGTGTCTGAGAATAATTGGGGATGGGGAGAAAAGCATTTAACTTGGATAACTACCACACAACTGTCACTCGTCGTACAGGCAGGGAGCTGGATAAATGGTCCATGGTCCAATTAAGACCCATTAATCAAATGCATGGAAACCCAGGCTCTGTATGAAACTGGTCTAGGATCAGGAGAACCAGCTGGGTCTACAGGAGGGAGACTTCACCACGTCCCTTCTCTCTACTGCCTCCCCCCATTTCAGACTTTTACTATGAGGAGAAAAGCTAACCACTCTGCCACTGCCTCACATCCAGAAGAACAGATTGTGTCCTTTCCACCGGACGCAGGTGTTTTTATCTTTGTCCAAAGCCGATAATTGGGTCTTTTCATTAGAACTTTATTGACAAAGCCATTGAAAGGCAGTGAATCGCGCCACATTACTGCATCATTGTGGATAAACAATAGACTGTGATGTGCTCCAGGGTTTTTCAACACGTTTGGAGGAGAAAAGGAGGCGTGACACCGGGTCAGCGTCAGTGAAAGGCTGATGATGAACGATCTATGAGCAATTTACAAACTTCTGAAAGGAATGAAACTCAGTAACATATATTTATGCTTCATACTTCAGACCAAATACTGGTGCCCAGAGTCAGGAGTCACAGTCCACCCAGAGGCTACTCCACCTCTGCTGCTGTGACCTGCTCCACCCAGAGGCTGCTCCACCTCTGCTGCTGTGACCTGCTCCACCCAGAGGCTACTCCATCTCTGCTGCTGTGACCTGCTCCACCCAGAGGCTGCTCCACCTCTGCTGCTGTGACCTGCTCCACCCAGAGGCTACTCCACCTCTGCTGCTGTGACCTGCTCCACCCAGAGGCTGCTCCACCTCTGCTGCTGTGACCTGCTCCACCCAGAGGCTACTCCACCTCTGCTGCTGTGACCTGCTCCACCCAGAGGCTGCGCCACCTCTGCTGCTGTGACCTGCTCCACCCAGAGGCTGCGCCACCTCTACTGCTGTGACCTGCTCCACCCAAAGGCTGCTCCACCTCTGCTGCTGTGACCTGCTCCACCCAGAAGCTACTCCACCTCTGCTGCTGTGACCTGCTCCACCCAGAGGCTACTCCACCTCTGCTGCTGTGACCTGCTCCACCCAGAGGCTACTCCACCTCTGCTGCTGTGACCTGCTCCACCCAGAGGCTGCGCCACCTCTACTGCTGTGACCTGCTCCACCCAGAGGCTGCTCCACCTCTGCTGCTGTGACCTGCTCCACCCAGAGGCTGCTCCACCTCTGCTGCTGTGACCTGCTCCACCCAGAGGCTACTCCACCTCTGCTGCTGTGACCTGCTCCACCCAGAGGCTACTCCACCTCTGCTGCTGTGACCTGCTCCACCCAGAAGCTACTCCACCTCTGCTGCTGTGACCTGCTCCACCCAGAGGCTACTCCACCTCTGCTGCTGTGACCTGCTCCACCCAGAGGCTGCTCCACCTCTGCTGCTGTGACCTGCTCCACCCAGAAGCTACTCCACCTCTGCTGCTGTGACCTGCTCCACCCAGAGGCTACTCCACCTCTGCTGCTGTGACCTGCTCCACCCAGAGGCTACTCCACCTCTGCTGCTGTGACCTGCTCCACCTAGAGGCTACTCCACCTCTGCTGCTGTGACCTGCTCCACCCAGAGGCTACTCCACCTCTGCTGCTGTGACCTGCTCCACCCAGAGGCTACTCCACCTCTGCTGCTGTGACCTGCTCCACCCAGAGGCTACTCCACCTCTGCTACTGTGACCTGCTCCACCCAGAGGCTACTCCACCTCTGCTGCTGTGACCTGCTCCACCCAGAGGCTACTCCACCTCTGCTGCTGTGACCTGAGGCTGTTGCTGATTATTACTATTGTTAGCTTTTTATGATCAATTTTATTTTATTTTTTTGCTGCTATTGGACACCTGCATTTCTCCAACGGGGATCAATAAAGAATCTATCTTCATGGCCCTGGACCCTTCCCAGCTGATCCAAAAGGCTTATAATGTGCAACTATAGCTCAGCTTGGTCCTGGACCAGGGAGGGTTCTGAGCAGTATCTTTGCTGTTCTTAGCACAGCACATTTATGGACCGAGATTTCTGAAGTTTCAGGGATCTACTGCACCACTCCTCCAGCTTGGGGGTCACTGCCCCTCCAGCACCGCCTCCAGCACCACCTCCTGCACCTCCTCACCTCACCACTGTCTGAAACATTCACATCCGTTTTGGCCTTCTCCATGATGTAGTTATGGAGTTTGGATGTTTGGTCCTGGACAGTGGCTCTCACACTCACTAGTCCTCGGCCTCCTCCTTTACGGCTTACGTACAGTCTCAGGGTGCTGGATTTGGGATGGAACCCGCCATGCATGGTGAGGAGCTTTGAGTTTTAACATCCGTGGTCTGAATCTCTTGCTTTGGTTATCTCTTCCTGATTATTCCTGAAGGGTCTGATCACTGGCAGGGCGTACCTGTTAATTGCCCGGGCCTTGTTCTTGCCAACGAGCCGGCTTCTTAGGACCTGCCTCTGGAGGTATTGGCAGTTGCCGCTTTCCTCAATGCCTGTGGCATAACAAGATACTTCTAACTGTCCCCAATTTCCAGGGTTACTCGAGTTCTCGCATCTCTCCCACTTTCACCTCGTTCGAGACACCTCCCCAGGAGATTAACCAGGAGGCATCCCAAACAGAGGTCCGAGCCACCTCCACTGGCTCCTCACCACGTGGAGGAGCAGCGGCTCTACTCCGAGCTCCTCCTGTGTGACTGAGCTCCTCCCGTCTCTAAGGGAGCTGTGTAGGAAACTCATGTGGAGGCTGTATCCGCGATCTCCTCCTTTCGGTCATTACCCAAAGGACCAGAGGTGACAAGACTGAACGATAAATCGATAATTTTACTGTCAACATTGACAAAGTGGAAGAAAAACGAAGACACAGAATGTGATCCGAGGACCAGGAGCAGAGTGGGCTTCTCTCACCTCCTTCTTCACCTCCTTCAGCTCCGTCTTCTCTCTGCTCTGCTGCTGGTTTTCTGGAGCCTCGTCTTCATCGCTGTCCAGGATCTGTCTGCTTCGTTTGGGAGGTTTCTTCACAGGAGAATCTTCATGAGCTCCGTTCTGCACCTTCAGAGGACTCTTCACCGCTCTGCAACACAACAACAACACTGTGTCAGGGCGTCTGCAACACAACAACAACACTGTGTCAGGACGTCTGCAACACAACAACACTGTGTCAGGGCGTCTGCAACACAACAACACTGTGTCAGGGCGTCTGCAACACAACAACACTGTGTCAGGGCGTCTGCAACACAACAACAACACTGTGTCAGGACGTCTGCAACACAACAACACTGTGTCAGGGCGTCTGCAACACAACAACAACACTGTGTCAGGACGTCTGCAACACAACAACACTGTGTCAGGGCGTCTGCAACACAACAACACTGTGTCAGGACGTCTGCAACACAACAACACTGTGTCAGGGCGTCTGCAACACAACAACACTGTGTCAGGGCGTCTGCAACACAACAACACTGTGTCAGGGCGTCTGCAACACAACAACACTGTGTCAGGGCGTCTGCAACACAACAACACTGTGTCAGGGCGTCTGCAACACAACAACACTGTGTCAGGGCGTCTGCAACACAACAACACTGTGTCAGGGCGTCTGCAACACAACAACACTGTGTCAGGGCGTCTGCAACACAACAACACTGTGTCAGGGCGTCTGCAACACAACAACACAACAGCTGTCATCCCCAAAGACACAAACCTCATCATTTGTGTATGTTCTGGGCCTTTAAAACTCAAACTCCCAAAGCAGTCAAATTGACAGCGTTTAGTTTTGGAGCCAACATGTGTGGTTTCATAACTGAGTCTATAAGTGGTTTTGTTCTAACTCCTCGAGCAGTCATTTTGACTGATCCATTCATTTGAAGGACCATCATTCTGTGGCAGCTACAGCCTCTTGTCACGTGTGCTGGTTCTGGTCGAGTTTTGTTTTCCACCAAAGAGCCAGTGCTAGTTACCATAGCAACGCACCGTTTACAGTCAGGAGTTAGAATCTAGCCTTTAGCATTAGCCTTTAGCATTATCCTTTAGCATTAGCCTTTAGCATTAGCCTTTAGCATTAGCCTTTAGCATTAGCATTAGCATTAGCTTTTCACCAAACTACTCTTTTACTTTAAAACTGTTGAATACAACTTGAAATTCAGCAAAAACAAAGGTAAAAAGAACCCTGGTTGATATTTGTTCATAATTCCATCGATCAAAACAACTGGAAGTTCTTGGACTTGAGTCCAAATGTTAAAATAAAAACTCCAGACTTACTTTTTCAGCGGTTCATTGGCAGATTTCTTTTCTTTAGTTTTTGGCTGAAAGAAGGATCTGAAAAAAGAACAGATGGTGAGTTTTTAAGTTTCTCAGACCTGAAAACTCAACTATAGTGAAAATGAGACAGTTTATTAATCCTCAAACATCTGCTGTGTCATCTATTATTTTAATTAAACATCAATGTTTGGGGAAATAGCCCTGATGGAAACATCCACTGATGCCTTTTCCTGTTCCTGCTGAAGCAGCCTCACAACATAATACTGCCACGCAATTAATACTGGGGTTTGTGTTGACAGCAACAAGAAGAAATCTGAAGGAGGAATGGGCCAAAATACCCACATCAGTGTACACATTGAATCAGAATCCTTTTTATTGCCATGTGAGTAACAGGAAGTCACAAACTAGGAAATTGCTTTGGCTCTCGGTGCAAACAAGTTCAATCAGAACAAAAACAAGAAGGCATAATTAAATAAAAATCTACATACATTTCTTCAGTTTACGGTATACAAGTGCACTAAGACTGACAGAACACGTCTGACACGTCTGACCCAACAAAAGGGTAAATAATAAAGTATTGAGAACCTCAATACTTTATTTGCCCATCTCAATGAGATTTTTCATTGACTAAACACTTATTTTCCAAACTGCAGTATATCCTTTCTCTCATGAGGTTACAGTCACACCTCTTCAGTTGGAGGACTAGCTAAATTGGTGCCAGACTAAATACTTTTTGCCCCACTGTACATACATATAGACCAACAATATATACATACATCTCATATACCTCAAAAATACGAAGTTGGTCAAATGTCTGTTTATTGTAGAAAATTGCAGACCTGAAATCATGCATTTGATGCCAACACTAGAGATTTATACTAGCTTCTGATAATGAAAGAAACAAGTATAAATCTAACTTCAGCTTATGCTAAGTTATACTTGGTCTATTGTTGTGCTAAAGTTAGAGATGTTGTTTAGTGCAGAGTTCTTCATGTATCTGGTGCTGTGTGCTCCTCATTCTCCTGCTCTCTAACTGTGTGATGCAACACTGACATTTCCCACAGTGGGGCCAACAAAGAATCTCTTCCTTTTTATTATACATAAGGTTAAAAGTTTTTCCTTTGGAGGAATCAACCCAAACAACACTTTAATACAGACTCAAATAAATAAGCAATAAACAATCAGAGTGCCATGAACAACAACAACACATGTAGCTGTAGCATGTTTGCTAACACTAAACCCGGTTCTTCACCAGGGCTTCCGGGGGTGTGTACTCACGCTATACTCCGCTGCATGGTGTCAGAAATGTCCTTAAATCAGAGAAAATGAAAAGGATAAAAGTAAAGATGAATGCAGTGTTTGTCACAGGCAGAGACAGGAAGCGGAGAGCGGAGTGGCGCCAAACCATTCACATCAAAGACTGACAATGACGACAGATGTGTCACTTTAAACTAACGAGTCAAGGGTAAAGTAAGAAATCATATCAATGCTAACGCACGTGGTTTTATTCAAAGTATAAAAAAGAAATGTTGACGTGAAAGGTTTGTGAGTGTAAGAGAAGGAACAAGAATAACTGAGCCTTGTTCTGACAAATGCTCAGAGTGAGAGGTCTTCATCCTCACTGTTTCGCGCCAGAGACGGAGCTCGCGCACGGTCGCCCCCTGTGCTTCCGGTTACTGCAGAATCAGTAAAATACATTTGAAACACGAATAAAAACTAATGTGATATTATAAACAATTAGATGAAAAAATAAGATAATTAAAATCTAATACATGAAAATAATCAAAGTAAATTAAATTTTAAAAAATTACATAATTAAATACGAATAAAAACAAAACATAACGTAATCAATATTAATAGTGTGAAATTAGACTAATTTAAATTAAAGGTAAGAAAATCAAAATCAAAAACAAATGAAATAAAATAAGATTAAAAAATCAAATAAAACTATGGGATCCTCAAACTCAAACACAGCGAGAAGTATGTAAAAATACAGACATTTATAATGAGGAAGCCGTTGGTCCACTCTTCACACATCTGAAACATCTTCTCATGGGTCAATGTGGGATGAAAAAGCAACATTCCTGAACGATGAAGTGCAAAAAAAAGTCAAATAGTTTTTATTACAGCCTCGGTCCGGAATACTGTAAACACCACTGTATTAAAAGACCATGTAAGATCACAGCAGCGTCCTGTCAATCCTACTGGTGATGGAACATTTATGGACCAATGTGTTTTCTATCATTGTATTCCTTGTGTGATTCTCTGATCTATGCCGGGGAATCGACAGCTTTGTCCTTTGAGTCCTCGGAGAAATTGAAATTAATTGAATGGGGAAAAAAATCTTTTTAAACTACATTCTGTTTGTCTTTTTATTGTATTTAAATAAATCATACATAGAAATAAAGCACAACAGCAAAACAACAATTAAAAACAGTTAAATTCTATGAACGATTACTTTCTATGAAGCCGCATTCTGTCAAAGACCACATGACCTGTACATCCTAATGTTTATGTTAGCTCACAGCGTCTGTACATCCTAACGTTTACTTTCACTTTCACTAAAGACACTTAGAACCAGCCTCAGCTTCAGCCGACACCTAAAGTTACTGCTCTGTAACGATGTGTATAAATGTGAAAGTCATTCATTCATGTGTGTCGATTCAGCAGGAGTGTCAGAGCTCTGTCCCAGGGCAGCTGCGGCTGTAGACGGAGGGAGGCAGTCGTGGCAGAGAGGGAGGGGGAGAGGGAGGTGGAGAGGGAGGGGGAGAGGGAGGGGGAGAGGGAGGTGGAGAGGGAGGGGGAGAGGGAGGGGGAGAGGGAGGGGGAGACTGTGGAGCTGCAGAGACAGGAGAGAGACCTCATTACACTGGATCTGTATGTGATGTTTTTACATGTGACGTGTGTTTACCTGAGACGTGGGGGGAGGGGGGAGATGGGCAGACCATGAGCCAGACCATGGGGCAGACCATAGGGCAGACCATGAGCCAGACCATGGGGTAGACCATAAGGCAGCCCAGGGGACAGACCGTGGAGCAGACCATGGGACAGACCGTGGGGCAGACCGTGGAGCAGACCATGGGGCAGACCGTGGGGCAGACCGTGGGGCAGACCATGGGGCAGACCATGGGGCAGACCGTGGGGCAGACCGTGGGGCAGACCATGGGGCAGACCATGGGGGTAGTTAACCAGGACCAGTTTGCTGAAGTTGAACTTGTAGGTGAAGCGTTTGCCTTTGGTTTTGTGCAGAATGCGTTTGTTGTAGTAATATCTGCAGAAAACAGAAAGATCACAGAGAAACTTTAACACACCTGAGGGCCCAGCTGGTACCTGAGGGCCCGGCTGGTACCTGAGGGCCCGGCTAGTACCTGAGGGTCCAGCTGGTACCTGAGGGCCCGGCTGGTACCTGAGGGCCCGGCATACCTGAGGGCCCGGCTAGTACCTGAGGGTCCGGCTAGTACCTGAGGCTCCGGCTGGTACCTGAGGGCCCGGCTAGTACCTGAGGGTCCGGCTGGTACCTGAGGGCCCTGCTGTTACCTGAGGGCCCGGCTGTTACCTGAGGGCCCGGCTGAGCTTGTCGTAGTTCATGTGTGGCTTCCCCTTCCTCTCACCCCACAGCTGAGCCAATCGTTCTGGGTCTCGGATCACAAACTCTCCCCATTGGTCGCTCCAGCCAATAGCTCCGCCCTCTCCCGCCCCCAGCAGCTCCAGCAGGAAGTGCCACAGCTGCACCTGCCGTGAGCTGGAAGACCACCAGGGTCTGTAGGCCCAGTCCGGGAACAGGACCGCTGCCAACACAGACAGAACTATATGACACACACCAGAGAGACGAGAGAGAGAGGAGAGAGAGAGAGAGAGGAGAGAGAGAGAGGAGAGAGAGAGGAGAGAGGGAGGGAGAGAGAGAGAGAGAGAGAGAGAGAGAGAGGAGAGAGAGGAGAGAGGGAGAGAGAGAGAGAGAGGAGAGAGAGAGAGAGAGAGAAAGAGAGAGAGGAGAGAGGGAGGGAGAGAGAGAGAGAGAGAGAGGAGAGAGAGGAGAGAGAGGAGAGGAGAGAGGAGAGAGGCAGGGAGAGAGAGGAGAGAGAGGGAGAGAGTGAGAGAGGAGAGAGGCAGGGAGAGAGAGGAGAGAGAGAGGAGAGAGAGGAGAGAGGACAGAGAGGAGAGAGGAGAGAGAGAGAGAGAGAGAGAGAGAGAGAGAGAGGAGAGAGGCTCGCGCGCCGCTCGCTCTCTGTCTCGTCGCGCGCTTCGCGCTCGGACGAGGAGCTCTCATCTCCTCTTCTCTGCGCCGCTCTGATCTCTCTTCTCTCTTGACTCCGGCGCTGCGCTTCGCTCCTTGTCCTCCGTCGCATCCGCTCGCGCTGCCTTGCTTCTCTCGGGCTCTCTATCGCTCGTCTCTCTTTCCCTCTCTTCGTCTTCTCGCTCGTCTCTCTCTCTTCCTTTCTTTCCTCGGTTCCTGGCTTGTCTCGTCTCTCTCTCTCGTTCTCGCGTTCTATTTGCTTTCTCTCTCTTTTCGCTCTCTGCTCTTTCGCCCTTTCTCTCTCTCTTCGCCCGCGCTCGGTCGCCGGCTCTCGGTCGGCGCGCTTCTTGTGTGTGTCCTACTCCTTTCTCTGGGCGGTTGCTGCCTGCCTCTTCTCTACGGCCTCTCTTTCTCTAACTCCTCCTCTCCTTTCTACTCGTTTCTTCTGCTGCTCGGCCGCTCTCGCTCTTCTCCTCCGCTTTCTCGCTACTTCCTCTCGCTTTATCTGCCTCTACTTGCTCCCTCGAAATTGGGTGGTTTTTTTGGAACATACATTCCCCCTGTCGTCCCATAGAGGCTCTGATTGATCCTCCCTCTTTTCTCTCGTTACAAGTAGCCATCCTCCCCTACTCCACCAGACCTTCTTTGCCCGCCTTCTTTTCGTTACCTCGGTGCGCTTTGCCTGCGGGGTTCGCTCCCCTCGACGTTGCCCCTCACTCTGCGCGCGAGCTTCTGCTCGGACTGCACGGCGCGTCTTCCGGACCGACAGTTCAAGCCCAACACTCTATCCGTGCTTCTCGAGATCTCCCCTTCCCCCTGCCGCCATCGTATTCGCGCCGTATGTTTCCCTCCCGTTTGTGTCCGTCGCTTTGTAACATCTCATGTTTAACTCTCGACGTCTCCCCCTTATGTCCCCGTCCCTCTGCCTGGGAAGCTCGTTCTGAACCATTCTTACTTCTTCCCTCTCCCTTCACCTCTGACTCACCTCGCTTGTCCTACCAGCTGACCTTCGTCTACTTTCTAGAAAGGGTCTCTCTCTCTCTCTTTTCTATCCTCACCGTCGTAGGCGCTTCATCCTCGGCTCTTTCGTACGTTCTATATTTTTTCTGCTTAACCCTTCCCTGCTCCTCTTCCTCACATTCCTTTACCCACTCCGTCCTGGGGTGCTTCCACTTCGCTCCCCTTCGTACTTTCTACCCTTTTTCTCCCTCCGAGGCTTTGGCACGCTCATTCCCCCTCCCTCCTCGCTCTTCTAACCCTCTCCCCTCCCTCTATCTCTGTTACTCCAACCCCCTTCCTGTCGCGGCCTCCCCTTTCTGATGCCGCAACCCCAACCTCTGCCTCGCCCTGTACATATTTTCTTCTCTCCCCCATTCGTCTCCCTCACCCAGCCCCACCCTTTTTCGACCAGGGGGGTCTCTGACCCCCTCCCTGTGGGGGTCTTGGGTCTCGCCCTGTCCCTCGCAGTTGACTGAGAACCCGTTCTCCCCTTTGCCCGGTCCATTTTACCCGCTCTGGTCCTTGGCCGTTCATTGCCCTGGTTTTCTGTGACGCTGTCCCTTCTGTACGCTCCTGCTCTGCATATTACCTTCTTATTCCGCTTTCTTCTACATCTCATGGTTCCTCTCCACCTCCGCCTCCTTCTGTCTCTCTCCTCTTCTCTTGTCTGCTCTTTCCGAATTCTTCTGCTCTCTCCTCCATTTTGTCTGGCTTCCCCCCTCCCTAGCCTACTCTCTCTACCAGCCTATATACCGTCCCTCGCCCTGGCCGCAGCTCACACTCGCCTTTTGCTACTTCCGCTCTTCCGCTCCTCCTGTGTCAGCGTCGCTCTTACGCCTTCGTGCTTTCTGGGGTATCGTATCGCAGCCCAGTGCTTGCGCACCTTCCAGGTGCGTTGAGTTCTCGGCTGCTCTATTCTCGCTCTCGGCTCTCTCGCTTCCGCTCGTGCGCTCTTTCGTCCGTCTCGAGGCGCTTCTCGGGTTCGGGCCGCTTTATGCTTGCTTCTCCTACTCTCGTTCTCGAACTCCGTCGCCTCTCTTCCGTCTTACTGGCGTCGTGTCTGCTTGGGATTTCGTATTTCCGTCGACGCCCGTTCGCGTTCTTCCTCCTTCGCTTCTCAGCGTCCGTTTTTTCTACCGTTTTGCCCCGTTTTCCCCTACGATGCCTTTTTTCTTGCTCGCTCTTTGTCCCTTGCTTCGTTCCTCGCTCTCTTCTCTGAGACGTTCTGTCTGTGCTTGCCTTGGGCGGGGATTCGACGCGCGTTTGTTATCGTTCCCTCTTTCCCTGGTCCCCCCTACTAGGTTGCTGTCGCGCTCCTTCGTCTACTCTCGTCTTTTTCTAGCTTTGTCTCCTCCTACGTTTTCTTTTTTTTTCCTGTCGTACTCGTTCGACGTCCGCTTTAGTCTCTGAGCCCTTCTTGCGGATTCCTGTTTCCCCCCCTTGTTTTCTGGTCGTTCTCTGGAGGGTCTGGCCTCTGAGCGTCTCTTTGCCGCCTTTTCAGTCTTGCCGCGGGCCTTTTCGTCCTAGTCTTTCTAGCTTTCTCCCTTCCTTCTTCGTGATTCTTATTCCTTACCGTATTCGCTTCTACGTTGCTCTCGTCCTTGTCCACTCTCGTTCGACTCCTCTTCACGGTACGCTACCCGCCTCTGGGTTCTACGTTTTTATCATGGGGCCCGCGGGGTCCGTCTCGCTCGTTTGGTACTGTTTCCTGCTTTTTTCTGGCCTTCTAGTGGCTGCGTGTATTGTTCTCGAGCGCTTCTTAAGTCTGCCGCCGGAGCTACTTCTCCTTCATGTCTAACTCTCCCTCCTGTGCTGGTGGGCCGCGTTTGTCCTATCTCGCCTCCTTCTCACCCCACCTTATCGCTCGTCCTATCCTCTTACTTATCGTTCCTGGATTTTGCTGTGGTAGTTCGGTGCGCTCGGTGTTTTGTTGGTCATATGCCGCCCTGGCCGTGACGCTGGCGTCGCACCCTCCCCGACATTCTCGATCTTTGCACGGACGGTTTACGCGTACGCTCTTTGCCGGCAACTTCTCTTACTTCAGACATTTCTCGTCCGCGCTTTCCTACGTCTGTTTGTTCGTGCTTGCTTGCACCCTTACCCCCCCTTCCCTCTTCCTCCTCGTCTTTTTTATTTTTTTCTTCATTTCTTCGGGTGTGTTCCTGCCTCTGCCTTCTTCTTAAGTTTTTGTGTTTCGCCTACCTCCCTTCTAACTCTCCCAACCTTCTCGCTCCTCTCGTATACCTCCTTTCTTTATGGTTTCCTTCAGACAACACTCTTTTTCTATCTTCTATTTCTATTGGCTTTGTCTTTCTCTATCTCTTGCAATTTCCTCACACAACTAACTCGTTTCTGTCTCTCTGCCTCGATCACCCTTTCCTGTTGCGTGCTTAGCCTCTCGACTTAACTCTTTTCTCTTCTCTGTTGGCTTGAGTTACACCCTTATTCCTCTTTGCCTGCCCTCCCATCCTTTTTTGACTCTCTCTCCCTCTTCATCTACCGACTCCGCTTCCTGCCTCTGTTCCTTTCTCTCGCTTCTCTCCGTCCTTCCCTATTGCTCTCGCGTGCCTTCCCCCCTTTCCCTATCGTCTCGTCCTGTCTTAGTGCTTCTGCTTCGGCCTCCCTCCGTCCTCCTCCCACTCACCCTACTTTAATCGGTCTTCTCGCCTTGCAGCTACTAACTATCGCCTCTCATCAACCCCCTTTTTTTCGCTTCTTACTCTTCTTGTCCTTATCTTTAGCATTGGCCCGTGCCTTCCAGGTCTTGCCTCTGCCTCTTACGCCTAGTCCGCCCTGCGCTCAGCTTCCTGGGGTTGTTGGTGAAGGGGTTGTGGCGGGTGGTGTGTTTTGGGGGTGGGGGTCGTGGGGGCGGTGGTCGGTGTGTTTGTGTGGGGCCGTGGATAGGGTTTTTCGGTCTACTTTCTTTACACTTGCTGTTCTTTTCCTGCCTATTTTCCTGTTCTTCAGTTAAAACTTGGTCTCTGTGGCTCCTCGACAAGCTCTCGCCTAGCATACTCTCCCTCCTCCCGCGTCCTCCCGGAGTTCTGACGGATAGATTCGCCACTCACACTCGCCCAGCTCCCCTCCTATATCTCGCCCCGTGCTAGCTGCTTTTCACTCGCTTCCTGGCTCTTCCTTTTCTGCCGTGCCCATTGGGACCTTTTTTTCCTTGTTTTCCAGTTGTTCTTGTTATCCTTTTTTACTCTGGGCCTCTCGGGCGCTATCTCTCTTTCCTTTCTGTTGAATTTTTTTGTTTCTCTTTTTTGTCTGTTTTTACCTCTCTTTCGTTTCCTTATCTTCTTTTTTCTTGACAATCATTTCGCTTCTCTTCTTTTTTCATCTCGGCTCTCCTCTCCTTTCGTCTTTGTTCTCTATGGTAGGTCGCTGCATATTTCTTTCACTTCCCCGTGTTTACTTCCGACTTCACGCTCCATGCTGCTTGTTCTTTCTTGTCGTTTCGGCCTATTCTACTCTGCTCTTACTGCCCCTCCAAACAACTTTACTAAGTTTCGTCTTTTCTTTTTGTCTCTCTCTCTGCATCCAGTCTTTGGGCTC